CTTTCATCCAATGTATTAAGTTCTTTACAGTTACATAAATTGCACGTTCATCGACTTTCTCGTCGAATGATGCAGATCGGTAATTACGAGGAATGAAAATGGAAGAAAAAAAAAGGAATTGAAGAGAAGGAAGGAAGCAGAAAATAAAAAGAAAAAAAGAGGAGAAAATTTGAAAAGAACTCTCGTTGGTAATATAAAAAAAAAAAAAAAAATACGTAGTTGCGACGAAGATTCACAGAAGGATGAAAGGATGATTAAAGCGATCTCTTAACAACGACAACAAACTTTTCGGCACGTTATTACAAAAAAATGATATTAAAAAAAAAAGGGAAGAAATTCTCGCGTGTTGATCCCTCGTTATTCATCGACGATATTTGACTGGTGTAACGATTTATTTGGCTTTATCGGCAATTATTATTTCACTTCCTTAAAAATTCTGTCGCATGTGTCTCTTTACTCTCTACTGTCTTACTATCTCTCTCTTTTTATTTCTTCTTCTTTACAACAAGTTTTCTTTCTTTTTTTTTTCTTCACCTTGCTTTAATTTTGGCATTACACGGTAAAAAGAATGTCGCTTCCTGTTCCAAGCTTGAAGATCAGGCTGAAATTATACACAGTCGAAACAGCGACAGACCGACACTCCCGCGGGCCAAATTATTATTACGGCAAAAACCGAGCAGGAAATTCTCTTTATCTTTTATAAAAATCTCACACGAAATTGTGCGAATAAATGTCGGATTCCTTTCTTTCTTCTTGCTCTCTCATCTCTGCAAAGGTGCAAATTTATCGAGCGTGAAGATCATTCAATAGAGAAGTTTAAAACAAAGGAAAAAAAGGTAAAATTTAATATTCGAATAGTATTTTTTTTTCTAATATTTTTTTTATGTAACAAAAAAGAATTTTGTTCGTAAGTTTTTAAATATTTTTTTGATGACTATTCTTATTCTAAGAAATTTTTCAATGAAATTATATAATATATTAATAAATTATATAATATAAAAAATTATATATTATAATTTAAATATATAAATATATAAATAATATTATTATATAAATAAATATATAAATAATATTATTATATAAATAAATATATAAATAATATTATTAATATATTAATAATAAATTAATTTTTTTAATAGCTGTTAATTTTTTTTTATATTTATAGATTAATATCAAAATTTGCTTTTAGATTTAATTTAAAAAAATTTTCATCTAATTTTATAGAAGATAAAAGAGAATTTTTAAAATTATTTTAGAATTTTTTTGATTTTGTATTGTTTAATTTTGTATTTATGGTTTTAGGATCATTTATTTGACAAATATTTAATGCAGATTTTTCATTTTTATGATTTTTACATAGTTTTAATTCAAAATTAAATTTAAAAAGAAATTATCATTTCTTTTTAAGGATTAAAAAAAAAAAAATTCTAAAAAATTAAAAAATATTTTAGCAAAAAATTTTTCCATTTCTACAATTTATGAACAAGCATTTAAAAAATATTTAAACTTATTCAAAAATATAATAGTTCAAAAATATTTTAAATATCAATGTCATATGAAAATAAAAAAATTAAAAAATAATTTTTCCCTCATTTCAAACTAACCAAAATTCTAAAAAAATATTCGAAAAACGAGATCTAATTATCATTTAATTGCTCATATAACAGCAAAATCTCAGATCGAACTTGATAAAATTGGGATGAAATAACGAAGCGGGATTAATTGTAAGAGAGAAGAGGGAAAGAATGAAAAAAAAATGTTGCCAATATATATCGATACGTAATATCATGATTATAAATTATTAGTAGATTATAAATTAAAAAAAGTAAGAAAATATTTATGCGACGGCTAGGGATTATATCTTTAGATATATAATAATAGTTAGTTTAGAATTAGCGAATTAATGCAGTCATGTATCGATCGGTATCGCGCTTCCTATTTAACTTCTAACCAAACTATACACCTGCCTACCTATAATTACAATTCATCTACGTTAAAAGAATTTTTATCTCTTTTTTTTTTTTTTTTTTTTACGAATGAACATCATATAGAATTATTCTCATGAAACCATTTTTTTGTTTGATGATGATTCTAAATCTCATGTGTTTGTAATTGAAAATATAAGAACAATATTTATATCTCTTTTAATATGTTTCAATTTGAGAAATGTAATTTTAAGAATTAATTGAATTGATAAAAGTAACTTTTTGTTTTTTAACGTTTCATTGAGAATTTTATCATGAATTCTCAGTGCTAAGAATTGAGAATGGAAAATGAAATTCAATATAATAATAGACAGTGTTATAGATGAGATCAAAATTTATTAAAAAAGAAAAAATTCATTTATTTAAAGAGGAATAGGACATTTTTAGTCATTTTTTTCTTATTGAATCTGAGCAAATATTTAATATTTCCTTAAATGTATTAAAAAAAATATATTGGATATTAGAAAAGATTTATTTTTCTGTCTCTTTTGGAACAAATGGAGATAATGTAATGAAAATTTAGCTAATTTTATGATTTTTTATTCTATGATTGTATAACATTTTATTCAATTTAATAAAAGTTTATATTCATATGAGAGAATTTCACGAAATATTTTTTTTAAAATAAATTTATGATATAATACATAAAATATTATAATTTTGGAAATAATTCTATAAGTATAATTAATTCATTTATAAGTGATGAATCATTAAAATAAATTTGGTCATTTTTATCGATATTCAATTAAAATTATTTTTATCAAAATATTTAAAAAACTACTAACATTATTAAATTTTTAATATAATAATAAATAATAAAAATTAATCACACTTTATAAAAACTGTAATTTTAATTTACAGAAGAATAAAATATCAATTTTCAAAAGTTTTTGAGCAAGTATTCAATAATTAAAGTCATAATTAAAATATGATTATACGATTATATTCAATGAAAATTTAAAGTAAATCACTTAATTATTATTCATTATAATTTTATAGTTTCATGTGAATATTCTGAGAATATAAAATGTGATACGAAATAATAAATTTTAATGCTATATTGCTAATTTGGAGTATTGAAGATGAAGGAATATTCTATATTCCAAAGGTTACCTTATTCCTTAATAAAATGATTAATCAATTTACAAATAAAATAATTGGCTATGATAGTCTTCTATTCTATTTTTATTAAAAGATCTATTATAAAAATATTCATATAAGTGGAATGATGTTCAACAATAATTAAAACAATAGTTAAATAATGAAATATTCAAAATTTTGTTTCCATAATATAAATAGATTTTATATAAAAAATTTCAATGTAACAAAGCAACGTTTCAGTTAGTTAAGAATAATTAATATTATTAATTTTAAGAAAACATAATTCTCAACATTTTAATTCTGAATTCTTAGAAGTTTTATTATTAATAAGTTATATTATATAGTCTTATATATATCTTATATATAACAATCTTAAATATTTGCCGTAAAAAATAAAGCAATATTAAGCAGAAAAAGTAAATGAGATCAGGCAGTACAATGTGATTAAACTCGTTTAATAACAGGTCTATAGATCTTGGATCTCGATTCATATAAAATTTTTCGTTAATTACTGTCAAACTGGCTTCCAAATCATAATTTAGTCGACGCCTCGAGGAACCAATCGTTCGTGGAGAACATCAAAGAATGTACAAAGGAGATGGACGAAAGAATTTAAGCAATGGAAGCATTGGTAAGAAAAAGCAAGAAAAAATGTAAAAGAAATGGCGCGGGCGTGCGTGCAGACGCAAAGAAGAACGAGAAGGAATAAATTTAATTTTTACAGGTGATCGGTTGGAACTCGTCTTTTGATCTCGCCGATAGTAAGTGACATCGGATTAAGTATCTAAGAAATGATAAGAGGATAATCTACGTGTCGTTTGTACATATGATGTTATATTAATGTTAATATGTATGTCGGTTATTTAGTTCATGAACTCTTAGATTTTGAATTTATTCATCAATATTTACCAATATTGAAGTTATTTAAATTTAATAGATAAGTTTTTTGAATGATGGCGCCAAATTCTGTGAATTTTGAATAAGAAGTTACATTCATAGACAAATGTTTATTTTTGATCGTAATAAATAATTATAATATTTATAAAAAAACATCACATTTCGATTTCGATGATTATATTTAATATATTGTTATTATATTGAATAGTGTTGTAAAAATTTTACATGATAATCGTTATTTATTAAAAAATTTTTAATAAATTAGTTATTAAAAATTATTAACCTAACCTAATTTAACCTAAACCCAATATAAATCATGAAATCAGAAATTAAATAAATTTTTATTCAATATTAATTATATAATATTAATTTTAAATTTAATTTCATGTCAAATTAAAATTAAATAAAAACTCATTTAACTATCAGCCAAATTAATTTACATTGAGTTTTCTTAATTTGACCATCGTGAATCGTTAATTGTCTGTCGCAATAAAGTTGATTATAAGTAATTTGATTTAATTTAACCTAAATTGTCTCAAAGAAACATTTTTTGCAACGATTTTCAAATAAAATCTTTACAACACTACAGATTGATGACTTTGATACCATATTAAAAATCATCAAAATTAGAGTATGGTATTTTTTCGTAAATAATTATCAAATAATTTATATAATAATTTATATTTTATTATTATACATCATTATTATACATTTCAAATTTTCTCTAAAAATATTATGAAATAAATAATTTTCATATTTGTTGAGCTATTACGCAGGATGAATAGTATTATACGCAATTCTGAATAGTATTCAAGAAGGAAAAAAATTTTTTACAGATAAATGAGATTTCAACAATAAAACTGAAAGAAGATCATGCGAACGAAATATAATTAAAACAATAAAAAAGAAAATTAATGTAAGAACATCGATAAAGAAATTCTATCGATATAAAATTAAATAAGAATAAATTTTTTTAAATATTTTTGAAAAGAGAAGCCAAATCAATTTTGAACTCACCTGTATGTGGCATATTGATCCAAGAATTTCAGTGATAATCTGTAACAAAAATGAGAACGGTTCATTAACGATTGTAGATCATTTGCAATCATCGATCGATTTTTTACAGCATATAATTATTGCAAACACATATTCATCCGTTTTACAATATAATGATATCCATATTTTGTACATATACATCAGATTTTGCATATATATATATATATATATATGTGTATCGCAGTTTACAGGAACATAGCCTTTACTGTTAATGAATTTAAATGTATTCAAAGGGCGCGCTTGACGCTTGACATGGCAACCCTTAAATATGCAATCGTACCGCGCGGCAAAATATTATCGCTGACGTACCGTGATTCTCATTCCGTGAAAATAATGTAATCGCTGGTGAAATCGAGCTTACCTCGATATTCGTAATCAGTGCATATATCAACGATTTTGATTTTGGGTTGACAAAAGTGTAAAAAGCGTGTTTAATTCGATGGTAATAGGATCGATGAATGATTCGTATCAAATTAATTTTTTTTAATATGAGATACTTAAGATGAAGTAAGAAAAATGGAATTTTTTATGAGATAAAATTGTTTGAAATTTAAATATAATTATATAACCGGGATTTATGTAAATCATTTATACAATATTTATAATAATTAAATAAAAAATTCGTTCCTTTTTATTTATAACAGAATTATTATATAAATTATAAATTATAAATTAAAAATATATTAAAAATGTATTTATTTTCAATAAATTTTATATTATTATAAATATAGCTTTTTGTAAAAAAGAAATAAAAAATTGTTTTAATGAAATTCTTTCATTAGAGACAATTGTTTTTTTAATATAACAAATAATCAAAATCGTTTTTTATCGATTTTTTTGACGGAATAGAATTTTATAGTGTTATATTTTTTTCAATTTTATAAAAAATATTAAAATTTAATTCATTTATTTATTTCTGAAAAATGAAGAAATTAATCATATTATATTTAACATGAAATTAATATCTATTATAATACATTTTATATAATACATATAACTTATAAATATATATAATTTTAAATTATTC